GAAAAAATATACTTTTTTTTTTTTTTTTTTTTTTCATTTAGCATATTCATGCATCCTGTCAAAAAATGAAAACAGGTGGCATGCTCCATAAGCTTCTACAAGTTGTCACGTTACACCATTACACAATGAAAACAGGTGGCATGCCAAGTGTACCTACGTAGTAACATCTTTGACAAATTGAAAATATATAAAAATGTTTTTTTAATTTTATGGACTAAAATAGGAGTATTCGTAATTCAATTTGAATCAATTTTTTATTAATAGTTTCTAGCGAGTAAAGATCTGGGTTTTGAAGTTTGTTAAATATAAAATTACCTTTGTTAGATCATGGCTTTTTCTTCGAAACTTTTCAACATAAATTAAGATTTAATCAAACCCTCTATAAATACGGAATACTGGATATAACCAAAAAATAAAAAGTTCTAGCAGGTTAGAGTTAACCCCTTTCTTGCCGTACTATTGATCTAAATATTGAAGCAAAATGTGCACTCTGTTCGTATTGTTCTCGATAAAAAAAATTGACGTGAATTATTAATTCTATCTTTAAATTATTGATATCCTTAAAAGAAATCTTTACTTGACTAATTAAACTTTAATACACTAAATTTAAGGGTATTTTCAACATTTCTATCGACTTTTTATTAAGAGTTTCATGTTTTTATAAGAGTTTGAGCTCACTTGCTATGTGATGTAGACAAATCAGTGATGTATCTAAATTTAGTTAATCAAGTAGAGGAGTATATTTAGGGCCCGCTTGGCCATGTGATGTGGAATCATGATATGATATCATAATATGGAATCATGAGATGAAGTTTTTAACAAGTAGAATTTTTGTGTTGTATATTTTTTCATAAACATATGAATCTCATAAGTTGTAAAACTATTGAAATAGCCCCGATTGTTTATTCAATCTTATCAAATAAATAAAAATTTATAAAAAAAACCGCATAGTAAAGTATTGCAAAGCTATATCTTCTCCACTTAATTAATTGTTTCATCTAACTTTAATTAATCAAACTTTAATTCAATTAAAAAAAATTGAACATAAATTGTGGTGTACTAGTCTTCAATATAATCCTCTCACATAGTACGGACAATCTTATCACATTGAACTTGCATTTCTCTATCATATGACCGAGAAGACAAACCAACATTGTTATTTTGAGTCATTTGTTGGTCAATATCATTCCCAACTATAATTTCATGCTCATAGACCATAAATATTTCATCACCCCTTTGGTATTATCGCAAATAATTATGTAACACTGCACAAGTTATGACAATTTTCACTTGTGTGTCAATATCATATTGGAATTGTGTGCCTTGTTTCACATGTGCGCAATTGCACATTTTCGGTGCATTAATTTCGTGCTAAAATCAAACATATTAGAAGTAGTGATTATCAAACATTCATCACCAATTTTGTCATTTTTCATATTAAATTGCTTTAAACATTTTCATATGTAGCCGAAAGAAAAGTTTTTTTTATCATGAAAAAACAAAAAAAAAGTATTACTCCCTCTATTTGTATTTATATTCACCAAATCAATTCTTACTTTATCATTTATATTCACCAAATTGAAAGCAATAATAAATTTTATGTTGGTGAGAATAATAAATTTTACAAAGTAGTGATGTGATTATTAATTGAGTAAATTTTTGGTTTAACAAACATAAAAATCATATTGATATGCTATAGCTATAGCTATAATTTGTATAATCACGCTCCATAGCAAACTTTATGTTTGTTATGACTATTAATTTGTATATATTTCGATATACATATACATAAAAAATATGTATTTGGGTCTATTTGTATATTTCGGTATACAAATGGGTCCTGCATTTGTATATTTCAGTCTATTTGTACGTCCTGCATTTGTATATTTTGGTATACAAATGGGTCCTGCATTTGTATATTTCGGTATACAAATGGACCCTGCATTTGTATATTTCGATACACAAATGGGTCTTGCATTTATATATTTTGGTATACAAATGGGTCCTGCATTTTTATATTTCGATATACAAATGAGATGATAAAAAACATAAAATGTTTGCTGCAATATTACAAATAAAACAAAACTATGGCTATAATATTTAATTTGAATTAATAGTTTGTTATTTCATACAATTTTCCCTTATTAATTTTATTTACATATGAAATAAATATTTAGTAAATATAATGTAGGGTTGTTTTAACAAAATACAAACCTGTGTGTCAATTTTTGTATTTAAAAAATCTCAAATCATGATATGGAATTCCCATATCATGATTTTTGGAGAATATGGTATTCCATCTCATGAGATGGAATTAGTGTGAAATCGCATGTCCAAATGCTGATTCCATCTCACGATCACATATCGTGATATGGTATCACATGATCAAACGCCTACTTAGGGCTGTCAATATATACTTTAAGGATGAAACTAATAATTAGTGTCAAGTTCAAAAGTGTTTACAATATTAATGATTAAAATGATAGGCAGAAATTTGCAAAATTTTCAATGTTCCATTTTCACTACAGAAACTTGTCCTTGAAAAAATATTTCAACCACGATAACCATCCATAGAAGAAGCTGTAGCTAGTTATAAAGTTAAATTAATATCACATGTGACTAAAAACCATACAAATCATGTAACCCTTTGATCTACAAAAGCCAACGGAACAATAAGGAAGATGCTTCGAGTTTTTGGGACAACACGACCTGTTTAAATGCGATCAAATTAACATGCCTGTGGTGCCATGTTAGTCCCTAAGGCGCATCAGGCCTTGCCTTTTCCGGCTTGGAGAGACTGAATCTTTTGTTGCAGCTTCAGAATCTGAAAATTGACACGTATATCAACAACAAAATGTATCAGGTTAACACATCCACCTCATAGAAATATTACAAAATGAATCAGGTTAACACATCCACCTCATAGAAATATTACTAGTTGACTGAACCGCACAAGGCACCAAATGATTTTAGCATGAAGCAAGATAAATCAACAAACTGATTTTTCCAACATTTGTATCAACTTGTCAGCGTCCTGAGGGACTAGAGTTGGTATCTGAGTAACATGGCCACTCAGTAAATGCCTTGATATAAGTTGGAAAACAGCTATACAGTTCAGCTCCGTAAGGGACTAGAGTTGGTATCTTAGTAACAAGGCGACTTATTAAATGATCAGGAGATAATGAGGAAAATAACAAGAGGTCAAGGACTGAAAACATTGATAGCAAGTAAACGGAGTTCATTGGTGAGTCCAGACAAGTATTAACAGATCTTTAATTGCTGCATACCAACAGTTAAAAGAAAGAAAAAGGGGGAACGACGATATGGTGGAATGCATTAAATGGCCTCTTCAAAGAAAAACTAAGAAGAAAGCCAAATAGACTGAAACCACTTGAATCTGTCCTAACATACAGTGTCAACCACCTATTTTTCCCCGTGGGTAATGGGGAAAGGAGAATGATAGAAGAGTTTGACAAGTTTGATGAACTGAAAATCTAAAAAATGTTACTCCCTCCGTCCCATTTTATATGAGGTACTTTAACTCGGCACGGAGTTTAAGAAAGAAAGGAAGACTTTTAAAACTTGTGGTCCAAAATGAATGATAGAAATTTGTGTGGCTGTAAATCATTTCATTAAGGGTAAAATAGATATTTTATAGTCAGATTGTTATTTTATATAAAAATGTATCATTCTTTTTGGGACTGACTAAAAAAAAAAGTGAGTCATATAAATTGGGACAGAGGGAGTACTTGATATATGCTCTCCAAGGAAGAAAAAAAGAAGTCGTACACAATGATGTCAGTTCTAATCACTTTTTCTTCATTTTCCTGCTAAACCTGAGGTACTTTTAGGAATCACCACTTTTATTAGAGCCTGTTTGGATTGACTTATTTTAAGTGTTTTTAAATCTAAATAGCTTATAAGTACTTTTGGAATGTTCGGATAAATCAAAAAAGTGCTTTAAGCACTTGTTTTTAAGCCAAAAAGACAAAAATAAGCCAAAAACCATAAGTTACAAGTCCTAACTTATGGTTTTTGGCTTATAAGTCAAAAGCAACAAGCCCTAAGATCCAACTGCCAACCAAACAGGATGACGAGCATTATAAACCTTATTTATACTAGAACTAGAGAGCTGCTAGGCCAATTCTAACTGCAGCAGCAGCACCCCCTCCCCTAGGGATGTTCATGGTTATGGTTAAAAAAACTAAACTGAACTGTAATTCGAACCAACCAATTAAAAACCTAATATTTGGTTTGGTTTGGTTTTTAATTTAAAAAACCGATACCATTTGGTTTTACTAAAAACAAATCGCAAAAATAATCAAACCGAACCGAAAAATTAGATATATCAATTTTATAATTATTTATATATTATTCATATATAAAATATAAATAGTGTGTTAATTTTAATTAACTTAAGTCTTTAAGTTTACTATTTGAAGCCAACACTCAAATTTTAGCCCAACTATTACAACCCTAAATCCAAGTCCATCAAAATCCATTACTTTAGTCCTTACCTATCCTACCTCACATTTGATGGTCACACTTTCTCTTAATTCAATAAATTTGTTCATGTAATAATAACTCTAGTATTGCTTAGTTGAACCCACAGCAGCTTTCATGTGGATTGTTCATGTACTAGGTGTCTGTCTATCGAGATATGTATGTCCTCAAAAAATTAATTACTTTCAAACCGAAAAAATAAGAAAAACTAAACCAAACTGTCAATAACTAGACCGATGATTATTTTTTCATTTGGTTTGGTTTGGTTTTAGAAATTTAAAAACCGACCAGATTGGTTTGGTTTTGATTTGAACCAATAACTGATCCAAATCGAACCATGAACACCCTTACC